ACATAATAAGAATCTAAGTCAACGAGACCATTTTAAACTATTTTGTCGAGTTCTCTGGGGAGATAATCTCCGATCTGCTCAGTCTTCTGATCTTGTCTGCCCGGCGGTTTTCAGCATCTAACAATATTCAGTGGATTGTTCTGTGTTGTGGTGTCTTTTTATAAGTTTGAATAATCACAGAACCTCCCGGTTTGCCTAGTCTAGTTGTTTGAGGGATTCTTCGATTGTCAGTCAAGTCTTACTGACTGATCAGTGTAGAAGGTCAAATGTCAGCATATCATCCAACGTTACATTCTCTTTATCACTCAGGAAAGAAGCGAACAATTAACAATTTTCAATTCAATTTGGTTGAGATCTTTGAGGTGTTCCTTGATGTGTTCCTTGATCTTACTCGTTTGTACTTCTGCTGGTTTTGTCTGTAAGGTGTGTGAGGTGTAACAAATACAGAGGTTCATTTATGCATTGTTTCGTAAGAGGCGTCATTTTTTTAAGTTAGAATAATGTCAAAATAACTTGGTCTGCCTAGTCTCTTTAGTTTGGTACGTTGGATGTCTTTCTACATTTCGCTACATTCATTGGTCGGTCTGTTGTTTCGTTTATTGTGCCTCTTGGATAATAATACAAAATCGGCTGAACAATGAAGATTGGCATATGCAAGGGGATAAGAATCTTCATCAACATTCCAGCTAACATTAAACAAATAAGTAAACAACATGATTGCTGGACTTATGCATGTATATCTCCGATAACCCAGGTCTGTCTAGCTGGTTTTCCTGTCAAACGGCTAATATCGTATAAATTCTCACGCGACAATAAAAACGTAATCATGTAACGATTTGAAAGTATTTTGTTGCCATCTAGGCATCGAGTTGATTCTGTTTGTTCCTGGTCTGTAGTTCTAATGTGCCCCTGATCATCACCTCTGTCCTTCTAATGTGCCTCTGTTTTCTGCATCTCGCCTCCAGACGTGTTCCGCATGCTTTTTGGTCTGCTAAGTCATTTTATAAAGTTGTGAAACGCGTGCATTGGTAGCTGAATTAACTGTGTAGTGTGAACTGACTATTTATTTTAGTGTTCTTTCTTCTTTCTCTTTAGTGTTCTTTCTGTTTTTTTTCTGCTTTGCACCGGCCAATAATTTGTGGATATTTTCATGTAATTTTCCATCCTTTATGTGCGTCATGGTGTAACTTTAAATATCTTATTCTGCTGTAATGTTATAATTAATTGTTTAGGGTTCATGGTGGTTCTGTGCAGTGAATTTTTAGGAGTTTAACTTTTATAGTTTTATTTATTTTAATTGTAGTTTTTTATGTGCTCAATAGTTAAAATAATATTTTAAACAAACATTGAAACTCACCCAAGATTTTTGGTTGTGTTACTACTTAGTTATAATTAGTTTCAAATTAATTAACTATCAAATTAATGTTAATATGTAAACAGCTGGTATGTTAGTCTTGCTCAGTCTTCCTTTAAGTCTTTCTGATTAGTATTAATTTAATTTTCTAGGATAAATATATCCTATATACTGTATTTTTCCTTTCTGTTGAGAGTTTTTCATTGTCAACTGCTGTACACTAATATATTCTTTAATTTATGTAAAAATAATTATTACGAATGTTCAAAAATATTTCTCTTCTTTTCATTCAATTTCACCGTTTCTCACCGGGAACAATGCGGGCGCGGGACAATTTTAAATCATTGCGTATAAAACGGAAAGGATTCGCCCGGTAAAGGGCACGACTTTAAAATCAGACAGTTCGCTCTCCCTATCTCCCTCTTTCTCAATCCTTTTTTCCCCTTTAAGCTGCAACTAATCCGATAGGAGAGAAGATAACGAGGGGGTTCTTCCAAGTGGGACAAAACAAAAGCGGCAGCTGAGAGTTGGAGAAGCGTTTAGGCGCGATATTGACAGAAGGACTGAAAGATTCTACTCCTATCTCCTCAGAACACTGGCCAGTGAAGTCTTTTCTCCCAATTACAAACAGCCCTTCATACGGCTCAACTCGCCGGAATCGCTTTTTTATATTGGCAGTCCATTTCCAAGAAAATTTCAAATATCAGAACGTCCATCACACCCACGGATCTTTGGCTGAAGTGTTGAACGTTTTTCGATGTAGTTTAGCCTAACTGTTCTTATTATTATGTAAAAAGTTTTTTTTTAATTTATTTATTACCTATACATGATAGTGTACTACACAAATATGTACACATGATTAATAAATCACACAGCACAACACTAACACTAATGCCAGCACTGCACCGGTAGAACACATGCTTTGAGGAGCCAGCCAATACTGGCACTCAGTATGTATGATTAGGGGGCAAGGAGATCCCTAGGCCACTTTCGGTTGAGGCGACGTGGTATGTTGTCATGATGGGAATGAGTGTAGAAGGTTTGGAATCTAGACCGGATTAATTCGTTGACAAAAGGAATGTTGAGGCCTTTGTGGATAGTGAGGTTTGTGACATAATAAGGTGCTTTGACAATTTGTCTAAGGAATTTTGATTGGAAGAACTGCATGCGCTGAATATTGGAAGGCTTGGCTGTACCCCACAGTTCCACTACGTATGTCCATATGGTCTTAGTAAAGTCGTGTATAGTGTTAGTTTTGTCTTAATTGTCAAACTCGATTTCGGTCTTAGACGTAGTCTTCGTAGTAGTCCAAGTCTTGTATTAAGTTGTTGTTTTTTAAGTCTTGTGTGGGGATTCCACGTCAGTCTCTGCCGTCGATATGTAGTCCCAGGTATTTGCCTTGAGTGTGAACTGGTATCTCTTTGTTGTACAATGGAGAACAAGACTGCTTTTTCAGCGTAAAACTGCACTGAGCGAATTTTTCTTCGTTCAGTCTTGTCCTCCATTTTTACACCAGTCTTCGATAGGCTCAAGGTGTTCCCGGATGTTGGAGGTAGCTTGGACAGGATTCGAGTTAGAGGATAGGATTGCGGTGTCGTCCGCGTATGTGGTGATAATAATGTCAGGATGTATTGGTAGGTCAGCAGTATAAATGATATATATGATAGGACCAAGGATACTACCTTGCGGAACACCGGCCTGTATATAAATTTCAAAAAGGAGGGAAAATTCAAAAGGTGGGGTTGAGATGGGAAGTTAGTGTTCGAGTGGATCGAAGTCACGATAGCTCAAGTGGTACAGCAGCGGCCGTAGGTTCGAATCCCGTTTGTCATGCTGACTTTTTTATCTCAACTAAAAACCTTAATTAATTGAAAGCTATCTACAAGGTTGGTCGTTCTGGTCTACCTCCTTGCAGGTGAATTGCCCATCGTGACCCTATATTTGTTACAAAAAAACAAAAAAAAACACAAGCCACGATTGAAGATGGCACAATGTGAACCGCGTCTGACGGACAAAGCCCATGAAAACAGGCGGACCAGGATGATCGGAGACTTATAGGTGTACTGCCACCTTCTAGCAGTTCTTATCTTCAATTTAAAGTAAAAGCCTAGAGCTGTTTCAATCGAAATAAGCATGGGAGACGTCAGATGTCATAATTTCTCCTGTTTTTAAAGGAAAATTGATTTCAAGACTGAAGCACCGTAGATTGAAAGGTCGTTTTGAGGTTATTTCAGTTTGGTCTTTCCGCATTTGCGAAATTCAGAATTAGCCGTTATCGGTGAAAGAATTCGCCCTTGGGTAATAAAAGGCAGTGAATCTCCTCTAGGACGTCATCTTTGCACTAAAAATATACATTTTCATTATCTGTTTAGGTTGCTAATGCGTAAAAAAGGTATTAATAGTTGAGAGCCATTAACTCTCCCGCCATCTGTTTGCTCCCTCGACCTATTATTTACTCATTTATCTGATTAATAGCCTCTATACTTGTAGCTGGAGGCCGGTTTTTCGGGATTGCAGAATTTCAGGGAGAGCTTAAATCGAGTACAGCAACGGTCGTTATTTTCACCTGAAAGTGCAATTTTTTATTGGGTTGTGTTGGTGATATGTTCCAGCTTGGTAATCATCATCACTATTTTTAAATTGTCCTATGCGATGAGATCTGCTCTGACTGTTTGTTTTGTTTTAAGCTGTCATAGTATATGCTGAAGAATTTAGTATTTGCTCCCAGCATACTAGTCAGTTTCTCTCGGAGGAGAAGAGAGTTACAAAGGGATATTCAAGTCGTGTCCATTGCTATGCTCGTATTCTGGTCAAGTATATATGATGTAGAGTGAATGTTGTTGAAAGATGCTCTAAAAAATAATTTAGCAACATCGGAATTTGATTTGGGCCAAGCTGTTTTTTTTAAATTCTACAGTTCTTGTTAGTACATAAAAATATTCACTTCTTTTAATGTTTTATAATTATTGGGAATACTAATGCCTAGAAATTTGATGCAATTTTATTTTTTGCTTTGTCATATTTTAAAAATATGAATTTAGTTAGTCCTGCGATTAAGATTTGAACAGTATTCTTATGGGGATTTTAATTACCTTGGGCAATATTATTGTTGTGACATTTTTACAGATTTTATTCGGATTGGCAGAAGTAGATTGATTGGCCTGTCAAACATCGCAGTGCAGATACGAACCAGGTACTGTTTTCCAATTAACCTTTTTTCTTTTTTAAACAAGCTTTCCCGATCTCGATATTTTCATTTTTTCCTAAAAATTGGTTTTTTAACTGAACACATATTGCGTGAGTGTTTGAATGAAAACTAGTTAAATCTAGTAACTTTTTTGTGTGTACATATTTCCAATTTAAAACTCAAAAATACATAAAATTTCTCACGCTAGTAGTTCTGGGTTCTGAACCCCAAGCGAAATCCTTGAGGTTTTAATTGATTATAAAATTAAAAAAGTATTTTAAAATTGTTTTTAACACTCGTCCTCTACATCTAACGAGCAGTTGGACTTGAAACCTCCCAATAACAAGCATTATTCGGCTTTACATTGTAGCTTGATTATCTTATGGTAGATCGTCTTTCGGAACTACGATCCGCCTGGCCTATGGAGTGGATGCTATGATTTATGTTATGTAAAAGTACCTTCGTATCGATGAGAAGTACTGCTCAAGAAAGTCCTTGGCGTGTTTAAGCAGCTCGTCCCTGCTTCTCAGCTGGACCTTCGTCGGCAGGCCAAACACAACACTTCCTAAGCAAGTCGTTCCCCCGCATGGACCCTCCTGGAAGAGAAAATTGACCAAATTAATAAATAATAAAAGCAATTAATCTTTTAAGCAATTATTTGTGATGTAAACATAAAGCGGGGGGCAGGAGTGTTCGGACCCGGAACCAAATACTCAGAACCCAAGGGAAAGCACACCAGTATCTTCCAAGCTGAAATTCATGCAATTGAAAGATGTATCCAATTCAATCTAAATAAAGGATACAAAAACAAGAATATAGCTATCATGTCAGATAGCCAAGCAGCCCTCAAAGCACTAAGCTCAAATACCATTAGTTCAAGGATCGTGCTGAACTGCAAAACCAAATTAAATATATTAGGCTCGCAGAATAAAGTCAGCCTCTGCTGGGTCCCAGGACACATGGGAGTAGAAGGCAACGAGAAAGCGGACACCCTTGCAAGAAAAGGGGCTGCCACACCGCTAATAGGACCTGAACCCTTCTGTGGAATAGGAATACACACACTATTAACGAATACCTCAGACAGAAGGACAAAAAGAAAATGAGCGAACTTTGGAATTCACTTATTGGACATAGACAATCCAAGAATCTTCTAACCAACTTTGGCAAGAAAGAAATCACAGAATGTGTCAAAGGAAGCAGGAACAGACTGCGAATCCTAACAGGATTCCTGACAGGACACCGTAGATTAAATGGACATATAAAGAAAATTGGAATAATCCAAGATGGCACATGCAGATTCTGCAAAGAAGCAGAAGAGACACCAACACACTTACTAACAAACTGCGGAGCTACACTAGCCCGCAGGAGGAAGTGTTTTGGGATGTACAATGTGACCATAGAAGAACTACAACCACTGAAACCGGGCCTATTAATCAAGTTTCTTGATGAAATAGGACTCACCGATGTGCTTTAGGCAGAGCACAGGGGCTCTTAAAGGGCGCAGTATACCATACCCTGAATCATTATATCTATCTATCTATCTAAACACAAAGCGGATAAAGCTGATAATATTTGACGGAAGAAACATATCGTTTGTTATAAACATTTAGAACAATAAATTTTTCAAGTCCCTCCTCTAAATATAGTGCTTATTTTGTTTTTAAAGAACCTCGAGAAATACACAGCGAGTAAGCGAGTGACTTATTAAAAGCTGAAGAAAAATTAATAAAGTAACATCTTTTCAGTTCATCCTCCTTTCGTGATGTGAAAAATAAGCTCTTTAAACTTTAATTCTCAAATCAAAGGAAATAACTATAAAAATCTCAATAAGCAGCGACTTTTTCATCAACTTCAATATTAATTAAACTTTTAAAATAAATTATAATAAAAAGTATAAAGACATAGTTCTTTGCTTGCCATAAAATTTGTAGATTTCATGACGTTTTTAATTGAAATTTTACATATGTTCATCAATGTCTTATAATTTATAACCCTATATTATTCACATTAAACAATAGCCTGTTAACATTAATGGCTATGTGTTGTATTGCGGTAGGGGAATTGGTCATTGGTTCGAGAGCATCCAGTTGCGGTTCGTTCCATTTCGCTTTTGGTCGGACTGATTCTGTTCAACAAAAATGATATCTGCCACGTTTGTGTAGTTCGTTAAAAAAAATTCTTCCTTTTTATGTTAAATGCATTTTTGTTTTGCGTGGTTTTCATTGAGCAAAATTTCCTTGTGTGTTGTAGATCTTGTGTAGAAAGTGAGTTTCAGAACATGCATCTGTCCATGTTTCGAACGCGGTCCGCTTATTTTCGCTGTTTTTCTATCATATTCAGTTCGTCACATTCAATTGATATCCACTCAACTTTATAGTTCGTTGTTAGGTTTTATTAAGCTGGTGTTCATTTTGTAATTGTGTAATTTGTCTGATGTGCACGTTTGATCTTGGTCCACCCATTCTTGCTATTTTATCTAAGTAAAAGTGTTTGGAGTTTTTTTACGTATTTTGTCAGAACTGTTCTCTTATTTTCGCTGTTTGTTCGAATTTGTTCTATTAGGCTTTTCTTGTTTGTGGCCGACTAGCTCATTATCCACCATTTTCGCTGTTTTTTTGTCAGATTTGGATTAGGAAATTTACTCAAATCAACATTAGAAAATACTACTGATACTAGCCTATGTAATAAATGTAATGTCAGCCCATTCTCGCTGTTTGTTCAACAGATTTGGTTCAGCACGTTTAATGAAATTAACTGAGAAAATTTCGATTTAATATGTTCAATAATAATTGAGGCAATTAGTGTTTTATGTAAAAATAATAGATTTCCCACTTATTATATTCCTTCTTTTGTCAGTTTTTCTGGTTTCGTTCTGGTCCGCCCATTGTCGCTGTTTGTCCAGCACATTTGGTTCAGCATGTTTAATGAAATTAATTGAAAAAATTTGGATTTGATATGGCCAATAAACATTGAGACAATTAGTGTTTTATGTAAAAATAATAGATTTCACACTTATTATATTCCTTCTTTTGTCAGTTTTTCTGGTTTCGTTCTGGTCCGCCCATTGTCGCTGTTTGTCCAGCAGATTTGGTTCAGCATGTTTAATGAAATTAATTGAAAAAATTTGGATTTGATATGGCCAATAAACATTGAGACAATAGTGTTTTATGTAAAAATAATAGATTTCACACTTATTCTGTTCCTTCTTTTTTCAGTTTTTTCTGGTTTCATTCTGGTCTGCATATTGTCGCTGTTTGTCATCAGATTAGATTCAACATGTTTAATAGAATTAACTGAGAAAATTTGGATTTGATAGGACCAATAAACATTTACACAATTAGTGTTTTATGTAAACAGTAGATTTCATAGGTTCACCCGCTCTCGTTGTTTTTCCAACTTGGTTCACAAGTTAAATGAAATTAACTGAAAAAATTTGGATTTTATAGAATCAATAAATATTGAGACAATTAGTGTTTTATTGAACATAGTAAATATTCCACTTATTCTGACCCCTTTTTTTCCGGTTTGTTTCCAGTTTCATCTTAGCCCGCCCATTCTTGCTGTTTGCCCAGCAGATTTGGTTCAACATGATTAATGAAATTAACTGAGAAAATTTCGATTTAATATAGCCAATAAACATTGATAACATCAAGGCCACGGTGATGAAGCAGTCTTACTTTGACTTGCTCCCGTCCACTACAATTCAACGTTTCGCCGAGGCCTTCGAACTTCACGAATTTCAATCCTCAATACTTATAAAACTACGACGACATAGTTCTTAAACAACTGTAACCTTAGTTCAATACACTCATAATCATTGATAACATTAATGTGCTATACAAACCTAGATTTTACACTTGTTCTGTTCCTTTTTTCCGTTTGTGTCTAGGATCGGTTATTCCCGCGGTTTTTTTGACAGATTGGTTGATCATCTTTAAGGAATCAAGTACGGAAAATGAGTAAACGTGCCTGACCAATAAATATTGCGACAATAAACGGTTTACCTAATGTTAGAAATTCTATACTAACTTTTTTTACAGTTTGTGCCCAGTTTTATTGCGATCCGGTCATGCTTGCTTGACCGTCAGCTTTTGTTAGATATGTTTAATGAATCAACCACGGAATTTGCGGATTTGAGAGGTAGTGTCTTACCAATAAACATCGATGAAATTAGTGTTTTTTTACGTACGTAAATATAGGAAATGTTGTCTTTCTTCTATTCCTTTATTTTCGGTTTGGATGCCTAATAGTCCAACGGAAGGTGTAGGCACGAATAAATGTGTCTGAGTAATAAACATTGCAACAAATAGACAATATCGCAATGTTTGAAAGGTCTTAAGTTAAAATTATTAGTTATTCAGATATCGTGAGATGCGGTTGGGTGTGATGTAGGTTTCAGAAAAACATTTTCTTTATCGTGCCAACGTTTCGATCTTTTATTGAAATCATCTTCAGGGCCTGGGATTTACAAACAATGTTTACATGTTGTCCCCTTGATATCATTTAATGATTAATTATAGCTTAGAAGAGTTTAAGTTTTAATTTTCAATAAATCATACATAGATAATTTAACCTTGATTTAATATAAAAGAAAATTGTATATATTACATAAAATTTTATGTAAGGATAGAATAACGGTCGAGCACCTCTTCAAGTGCAGAAAGCTTGATGTCTATAGACAATATTTTGGCATATGGTGCGTAGTCTTGGGGCACGGCAGCGGGCACAGATCGCTGTTCCGGTACCTCAGGGCTATAGGGATTTTTAAATGTATATAGTTTTATGTGTTTGTGTTGTGTCTCTGTTTGACTTTATGTTAATTTATTGGAATGAATGTAATTTATTAGCATGAAAGGAAGGGGTGATTAAACCCCGCCCCGAGGAATATCGAGTACTCTGGGGTGAGTGTGTGACGTCTGGAGAGTAAAAGTAAGTTATTAGCGAGAGTGGAGAGGGTTCAACCCCGCCCCGAGGAATATCGAGTACTCTGGGGGAGTGAAAGTGACCAGACATTTATGTTTGTGGTGATGTATATATATGTATTGTATGTTTTGTTTTTATTCTGTATTTGACAACCTGAGGTACAAACGAGAGACTAGCATTCTAGAATATCAACGTAGTATATATCTGAAATCAGAGAGTCAGTAACCAGATCGAGATGCTCAAATGGCTGCAGTTTAAAACAAAATATGCGCGAAAGAAAAGAAAAAGATGGAAAACACGTAGAGGGCCGGCGATGACCTCAGCTGTTTGTTGGCCCATAAACTTCCCACTTATTATTATTTTACATAAAATTATTTTAAAGCTTCTCTTCGAAGTATTCTCTCTTGGCTAAGGCACCGTAAAAAATTAATGTGAAATTTTCTCCTCGTACTATCAGTTCATTAAAGGTATCAGACAAATTTAGCAACTCAATCTAAAGTTATGGGAGGGGCGAGTAAGCAAAAGTAGTCTGTTGACAAAGTAGATAAAATGAGGGTGAGAACGACAAGCAACTACACCTGTCCTCTCTCACGTCCAATTGCGCCCCTTTTTCCTTTCAAATTAACAAGCATCGTTTTTTTTTTTTTAAAGCGGCCACCCTTTCGTCGTGAGAAGTCTTATCGCA